TGTGAGTGATCTCTACTGAGTAAGACCAGAAGCTAGATCAGCACAACCAGGCCTTGAGAAAGTCATCAGATGAGGCCATGGAAACACCAGCACATGGGCTGTGCCCTTGAGCATCCAGGGGTAAATGTACAGCAGTTGAGGCTCCAGGTAGGACAACACCCTGATGCTGTGCTGCTCCTCCCCTGCCACGCTGCAGTTTCGCAGGTGGGGAGCTAGAGGGTGAAACTGAGACTGCAGTGGGGTGGGGGACAGAAGGCATGTAAGAGGTACCGCCAGAAACCCACGCTGGACAGATAGAAAGCCCAGAGAGAAGAGCAGGATGGGAGTTCTTGAAAGAGACCTGTGGAGCCTGCAGTGCCCCTGGCCTCTGGGGCTCCCTGGAAGACTTCACCAAGCCAGGGAGGGTACCAGCAGCACAGATTGCATCCCTCAGGAAGACCTGAGGGCACCAGAGTAGGAGACATACTTAGATGGGCTTCTCACCCATGAAGGGTCATCCTGCAGGTGGGCACTGGACTCGGTCTGCCCTGCAAGCTGTGGCTGGGTCCCTTTTCAGCAAGGGTCCTCAGAGTTTAGATTTTCTACCACAGCTGTCTGAGTTTGAATCTAGACTCTGCCACTCACCAGTTATGGGACCCAGTTATTATATCTGTGCCTCAGTTTCTCCAAATGTAAAATGACACTAATTGAAATAACTGCCCTTGTTGGGTTGTTTTGTAGATTGAATGAATTAATATACCAGTACCCAGCAAAGATTATTAGTAAGTACCATGTCAAAATAATAGTGCCATGTCAAATAAAAACACAGAAGTGTCCAAGGTGGCTGACAAGGAAAGTAAACTGCCCTATTGATGGCAGTCACAAAGAGATGGAGCTCTTGGCCCTAGTGGCCCTAGAGGACAGGCCATCATCAGGGAACTCTCTGGCCTCCACGTCTGTTGTTGGCTGGCCCTCAAGAGGCCAGGTGATAGAGTTAACGTATGCTAACATCTGGGTATCCAAATTGTCCAAGTGACCTTCACCAGCTGCTGTGGGAGTGGGCAGGGTAGCTTATAAACTGACTGTTCATGGCCAAGACATCAGTGACAGCAGATGAGGCTGAGATCCTGGGCCATCCCGGGGACTCTGGGAATGGGCTTTGACAGAGAGCTATGGGAGTCTGCCTCAAGCACAGGGATCTTTTTGAAATTCATTTCCACTTAATTCTATTGAAAAAAAAAAAACATTTTAAAAGCATCAAGACCGACATGGGGAAACAAAGAACAGAAACATCATCAAGGAGTACACAGCTGAGCTAGAGGAAAAAGCACCAAGTTTGCAAACAGCAACGCCACCAACCACTGCCGCAAAAGTCGCTGGCCCTGACCCTCTCTGGCTCTGGCCCTCTGCAGGTCCCAGGCACCTTGTGTGTGTCAATGATTTTGTACACACTTTATAACAACTGCACAAGTACCTTCACCTCAAAGGAACACTCAGGGTGGCAAAGGAGAAGCCAGCTGTCTAATGGGACACAGGTGGCATGAAGGGAAGGCAGCATTTTGTCAGACTGCCAGGTCTGTGCCCTTGGCCACCGTCCGTGTTATCTTAGTGTGATCTGTGATGATAAAGGTAGGAATATACTGTGTGCTTGCACTTTTCTCTTCCAGTTACTCCTCAGGTTACAGAATCTTCCCAGTTTCTACACCACTGATTGGTTTTGTTAAGGTCCTCAGTGCCAGTCTTTGCCATCCCAGCAGTCCCCCTCAGGTCTTATCTTCCCTTCTCTGCAACCTGGATAGGCATCTGTCCCTTCTCTTAGAAACACTACCTCTGTGTGCTAGGAACACTCCCCTCCCCTGGTTTACTCTCTCCTCTCTGGTTCCAACCCTTGGGCCACTCTTGATGTTGCTGGGGCCCATCCTGAACTACTCTCAAGACATTCTTGATGGCAGACTCAGTTCCCTCTCAAGGTTTAGCCATCACCTGCATGTGGAATCCCCAAGCCCAGGATCTAGCTGGTTTTGGACCTGTATGGTCATCTGGCTCCTGCACATCTTACCTGCCTGTGCTCCAGGCTATCTCAACTCAAAACAAGTCCTTGGGGACCCCCACCTGCCACAGATCCTTCTGGGTACCCTCTGTCAGGAGAAGGCACGCTTGTGGCACAGGTCAGATCCTAGGAGTTGTCACCAACATCTCCTTCACTTCCATGTGGATGCTTTCTCCATTCTCTGTTTCTTGAGCTTTTCTCTCCTTGCCAGCACCAACCCACTCACAGCTGCTGGTCCTCCTTCCACAGGCTTCCCCACACCTCTCTTACCTGGCTGTCAGAGAGGCCCCGGGGACAGCAAATCAGCCCATGTCAGCCGCTGTTCAGAAGTTCTGGGGCCTCCTTTCTGAGCACACTGCTCCATGTTCCAGCATCTTTCTTGAGCTTCACTGGCCGTCACCTCTCCCAAGCAGTCTCCCTGCTGCTCCAGTTGAGCTGGGGCCCTTCTTTTGTGCTCCGGTGGGGACTGAGCACACTAGCTCTCCAGACTCCTTGGGTGTTTTCTTACCTCCCCACCCTGAGACCAGTTTTGCTTGGTTTTTTCTTTTTCCAGTGTTAGGAAATATTTGCTAAAATCAAAGGATGGACAGTTTAGGAGACAAATTATGGGGGTGCTCTTTTAAGGAAATAGATTTCTTTAAATGTAGACACTGAAAGTTGAAGATACCATATCCTTTCTCGCCCTTCCTAATAGAAACTCGATTTTGTTCAAGCCTGTTGAATCTGAATATACCTAAAAGAGAGTCCATTTATGTGTCAGGGTGGGAGGGGTTGGTGATGACTCCCAGGATCTAGCTTGTGAACCCCTATATTTCTTTGTGAGATTTGCAGAGGGCAGCTATGTGACCTAACGGTGGCAAATAAGATTTAAGGAAAAGCATCTGTGTATGCAGGAATAATTTTATGTTTTTATGCAAGAACAGCCCCTTCCTGTTTCTAGTCTTCTTGGAGGTGGATTAGACATTTGGTGACAGAGTGCCAACCATGGGTATGAAAGCCAGATACTAAGGAATCCTGAAGGGGCCTTGGTCATGACCCAAGCACTGTCTACTAACAGACCTCTCATTGTGAATTACTTTGGTTGAACCTTCATTGAGTTTAGCTAAACTAAACTTGGTAGCATTTCTGAATAGACCTTCCTTTGGCAATGACACTGGCCCCGATGGCAGACAGAAGGCAACGTTAACAGAGCAGGCATCCTTGGGATTTTTCTTAGAGGGCCACTCTAAGATCAAGGGTTGTGGAAGAACTTGCAGCGGTAGTGCCCTAATGTGCCTGTGACCTTGGCGCCACATGTGCAACGTGGCTGCTAGACTAGATCGCTTTTCAGATGCTATGAGTCTGGGCTCTGGACTCAGGCTCAGAATGAGTTCAGGGCCCAGTAGCACCACGTACTTGCTATATGGCTTTCAGCCAATTTTTAATTGGCCTCTGTAGCATTCTTGCTGGTAAAGCACAGACTGTAACAGCACCAATCACTTAGGATGAATGTTGGAGTTACATGGGATGATGCTTGTGGGTGCGCAGTGGAGCTGACGCAGGCCATCAGGGTGCTGCAGTCAGTGACCAGACATGTCAAGTACTCTGTGGTGGTGGCTGTACTTGTCTTTCAAGTGGATGGGACAGTGAGCTGAAGTTGATACTTGCTCTGGGTCGAGAGTTCTACAAAGCCCTTCGGTACTCATCTCTCTCTGCAGAAGAGTGAAATGACCAGCGGCAGCTCCTTATCCCACAGCTTCTGAATGCTGCTGGACCCAAGCCCATGGTTGCAGGTGGACAGGAGAAGCCCCTGGACATAAGTAGGCCAGGTCAGGCCAAGAAAGGCATCAAGCCCTGGCTAGAAATAAGAAGCCTACGTGGTTTATCATCCCGTGGTCTTTGTCTAAATTGAAACTTCCTGGATATTGTGGGGCGTCTTTTTCTCTGCTGGCTCCGGTGGCCTTGGAGGGATCCGCTGTGCAGGGGATGACTGGAGTTAGGAAGCTGGAAGGACGCCTCCTCACTGGATCCCTCACAGCAGCTGCTTTTGGCAGAGCACCTCTTGCCTTCTCTGGGAAAACTGCACCTTCTTTCTCTTCTCAGAGCTTGCAGTCCTGGTTGGGGAAAAAAATATCTTAGGGAAAAACAAATTCACTGTTCTTTCCAGCTTGGGAAAGAGGTCAGCTTGGGAAAGAGGTGCATCCCATTTGTCCAGTGCCCCACCCTACTGTCCCCCACCGTACTCCAGGCCAGTCTCAGCCTCGCTGACACTTGACAGCCCATGCAGTTTACCTTGGCCCAGGTCCAGAGAGTTGGGCCCAGCCCGGGGCGGCCCCCACCTCTCCACCTTGTTACCCGCCCCCTCTCCAGCGCAAAGAGCAGTTTAAATATAAATCAGTCTTCAGCACAAACAGAGCCTCAGAGAGTCTCGGAGCCATCACCGGAACTGAGGGCCCAGGTTTGCCGCGGCGAGTGCAAACAAGCAGAGACCGGCTGTGTAAATCTCTCCGAGTGCGTCGGGCGGGGTGCCGGGGCTCACCTCCGCTGGAGAACCCTGAATCCCTGCCACCCGCTGGCTCCCGCTGTCCGCAGCGTCCCTCGGCGCTCGTCCAGCCCTTCCCAGCCCTCCGGTCCCGGGTCCCGTCTGGTCACCCGCCCGCGAGTCTCCCCGCGCTCACCTTCGCCTGCAGCCCACTGCCCCTTCCAGCCACCATCTCCCCTCCTGGGGTCCGCCTCCCTCACTCCACCCCACCCCACCCCACCCCTCCCAGCAGGCGGGACCTCTTCCTGGGCCGGTCCCGAACCGAGGTCGCGCCCGGGAGCGCGCAGTGTGTGCCGGCTCCGGCGGCGCGGACTCCGCAGGCGCCCCGGGACACCTGTCGGGGAGCGGAGGGGGCGGGGGCTCGCAGCGTCCCGACACCGAGGAAGCGAGGGAGGAGGGAGAACGCGTTTCATCATCGGCGGCGGCCACTTATAAAAACTTGTGGGCGCGCACGGTCTCGCTCAGTCTCCGCATCGCGTGCCTCCTAGAAGCCACCTCCCGGCCGCGCCGACCCGGGCGCCTCGGGCCTGCAGCCACCACCGGGGAGCGAGGGGACGTCGCCCCGCGCAGCGCCGCCCGCCGCCCGCCGCCCGCCACCATGGGGCTCCTGCCCAAGCTCAGCGCGCGCCAGAGCAGCAGCGCCTCTGCGGGCCGAGCCGGCCGCTGTTCCCGCGCGGTCTTCGGCAACATTAAGGTGAGCAGAGTGCGCGGTGCCATCGAGGCAGAGCGCACCCGAGGCGTCCGCGTGGCGGAAGCCCAGGAGGCACTGGGTGAGCTCGGCTTCCTCCTGCGCCTTGGGCGCCGGGGTCCGGGTCGATCCCCGGGGCCCGATGGGGCAAGCGGGTTGTGTGTGCACTTGCGTGTGTGCTTCCGCGCTCTCATGGGGTAAGGAACAGGACCACAAAAGTCCCTGTGCCGAGCAGAGGTGAGGCGGCAGCTGAGGAACTATCCTGGTCTTTGGTTGGAGGAATCCTTGGTCTGTCTGCTGCGGACTGTTACTCCGTTCGTGGGATGGGCTTGGAAGTGTCTAAATGGGCTGCTGGTGAGAACTGGCTGCGGGCACCGCGGGATGGTGCCTTGTGCTTCCTGCAGGAGGGGGTGGTAGAAATGAAGTCTGTCCTTCATGAGGCATTGATGTTGTTCTAGATCTGCTACCTGGTAAAATCGAGAATCCCCAGCAAAACAGACTTCCTCCTCAAAGGTGTCCCAGGCAGGCCTTCACTGACCAGCTCTCCTGGTCTGCAGGTGGCTCCAAGGAGTCAGCGACCCACATGGTTCACTCAGAATTGTCCAAGCAGGTGCCTCTGGCCTGGCAAGTTAAGGGGAGCCAGTAAGGAGAAAAACAGGTGTGGACAGCTATTAAAAAGAAAAAGAGCTTCTTCCCCTGAGGTTGAAAGGCTTTTCCTCTCTCACTTGTCCTGGAGGACCTACCTGGAATGGTTGAATCCATAATCAGTGCTCCAGAGGTCTTCAACCAGGCACCTCCTAAGAAGAAATGAGAGCCTACAGCTCCCGTGTATTAGGGTGCCTTGGGGTCAGGCTGTTGGTTAGGGTGCAGACCTCGATTCCCTGATTCCCAATTGTTACAATCAGGTGAAACTGAGTAAATCCTTCAGGAGTGCAGCTTGGGAGCCTAAAGCATCCTGGGGAGGAAGGGGTCTCCGTGGGCTGCTTGCCTGTGTCTCCTTGCAAGAGACCTGAGGTCTGAGTGGATCCCATCTAGGCTTAAATGTCCATTGCTATCAGAGGAACTGGGGCTACCCATTCCTGCTTCTGCTCTTTCCTTACACCGCGATAAAGAGAGGCTGGATTGATTTTTCACAGTGGAATACAAATAAGATAGAAACTCTGAGATCATTTGAAATAATACTCAGATCTCCTCACCTTTGGCCAGGCCTGGATGATGGAGCAGTGCATGTCATTTTGGTTCCAGTTAGAAGGGTGGAACATCACCAGTTTGGAGATGTTTCAGCCAAGCATTGTGGCAATTTTGACATTTTAAAACTAGGAAGTGAAAGGAAAGGGTGGGGGCAGAGGTTGGGTGGTCTGAAAGGAATGACAGGGTGGGGGGCAGGATCTCCTGCCCATTTCTCCAAGAATGGCAGGAGGAGCAGTTGTCCCAGAGCAGATTCCTAACACTGAGGATAAGGAGGGACCAAGAATGAGCCATTTAGACCTGCCTCGTGAGCCCCTGCGATAGATGAGTTTATGGCAGCAGTTTCTTTGAAGAGCTATAAAAATAAGATAACTTCCTACATGCCAATGGTTTGTGCCTGAGGCCTGGGCCCTGGCCAGTTGGCCTCCTCAGAAAGTTCAACACTCATATCAGTTAAAGAGCTTTTGTGGACACTCTAAAACCAGGTTCTCTTAATCATTACCTCTGTTGATCCACAACAGTTCCAAGAAGAGTCAACAGTTGAAGACCTCAGCTTGCTTCACTTATGATCCTAAAAGCTGGGCATGTTTGGCTATCTTCAGACAAATCTAGAATCTGGATTCCTGTTAACTAAACTCAGTCAAGACTTTCCCTCCTGGGTGCAGTAATGACTGTCTGGGAGAGTTCCTGCTCCCAGTGAGAGGCCGGGTGGTTCTGCACCTTCCGAGCCAGGTATGGGCCGCATGTGTCTTGTGACGACGTGGCTTGGAACAGGAGACACCCAGCCTGTGGATTTGCCATTTTTCTAGGTTCCTTATTTCTGGGACAGATTAACCAGTTGACTTTGTGGACATTCCATATGGTTTAGGGGAAGGAGATAAAGACCTCTGTTCCATCCCAGATACTTGCTCACTGGGTAACACAAGGAGACATCATTCACCTTTCCTAAGCCTCAGGTCTTGATCTGAAAAAGTGAGGAATGTGAACAATTCCTACTTGTACACCTCAGTAATGATTATGTGGGATGCAGTGTAAGCAAAGAGCTTGCTAAATGCACTTGAGCTGCTCACATTTGGTACCAATTCAAGGCCACTTCTTGCTTCCACGAATAGGACTGTATATTCCAATATCCTTTAGGAACTATTATTTCACTAATTATATGATGCATAGTTATTAGTTAAGAAAAACTATGGCTAATAATACTGATAATGCCAATAATAATAATAATAGTAATAATAATGAGTTATCTGAATGTACCAGAAGTTATGGAAATACAGTGTACATATTTTGTTCTCTTTGCAGCTCTGTCAGGTGGATATTAGTGTCTTTATTAATGACAAGGGGGCACAAAGCTTTGTAAGGCTGGTCCCTATATGTTTACCTACAGCCTAGCAAGGGTGACATATAAAGGGATCAGGCATGATCTGTGTGCCTGTCTGTGTGACCAGGCCCTCACATCAGCACCATGCTGCTCACCTCTGGTTTAGCAGGTGGCGATACCATGGATGTGCTTGTTTCTAATGGGCAGGACTACCTCCAGGCCCTGAGGACACCTATCTGAGTTGCAGCAGCTGCAGTTTGGATGCTTCCAATTGCTAATAGCCTTATGACCTTTCACTCCCTAGAACTCTTATCTAAAGAGTCTGTATATTCTTGGGGTGATTTTTTTTAATAATGGCAGGATTGAACCCAGGACTTCATACAGGCAAGGCAAGCTCTCTATTTGTGAGCTACACTTTCAACTTCTCAGGGTGAATTTTTTGGAGAGGCAATTTCCATGGCCTATGCTTGCAGAAATTTTAGGAAGTACAGGAGCTGCTCACACAATCACTGTCAAAGGGAGTAGCTCAGCACCCAGAACTCTAAATTGAAAACAGGCGCATTCAGCTTATGGGGATACTGGTAGGAGGGAGCCTCTGCAGCTAACTTATCCTGGCAGCCTTGATGAGGTCTGTTTTTCCCTAAAATGAAACTTTCTTTTGGACCAAACTGAGGTTATCTTATAGCAGCAGGAGTTTCAGGAAATTATACACGTAAAGCTCCAGTGTAGTGAAATCGTATATGTATTTTCACCAGTGGGGATGGAGAGTGGGCCAGAAACAGGGGAAAGAAAGAAAAAGCAAACCATACAGTTTGGCCTGAGTAGCCCTGGTGACCTCTGACCTCTGACCTGGGAAGACCAAAAAATGGAGGGTATGTTTTGTCCTGGCCTACGTCTATAACTTCTGAGGCTTTTGATCCCCAATCATGGGGAGGCATTTTGGGCTTAACTTCTTGATTTCCAGAATAAAATACTGTATATCAACCGCTTGATTAATGCTCACTAGAATCCTGGGCCAAAGAATTCCTTTCCTGACTCTATGAGTTAAGATGTGCCCACTTCCCCCCAGGGACGGTATTTCTCTAGCATTTGAGACTCCATGCTTTGCTTCTCAGGCTTCTGCCTCCTGAGAGTCCTGCCTTGCCCTGCTTGCTGGGAGGGGATAGGAAAAATGATGAGAATTTGTGGGGAGGGTGAGGCATTGTCTCATGTTGCTCGGCCTTTCTCCTCCTGGATAATACTCTCTTAGCTGTTACTTTCTGTCCTAGTAATACTGACGCAGGACAAAGGGAAGAACAAGTTTCACAATGTAGATAGCTCATCTCATCTCTTCCTCGTCGTTCTCCTTTGTTGGTGACAGTGCTACTTTTTTTCTACAGGAAACTCCAGAATGGGGTATTAGGATGGGAGCTCGCTTACTTCTTTTGCTCCGCTGTCCAGGAGTCATGGAGCACGCACAGGAAAATACTGGGTCTCCTGGCCCCAGCTCCTCCTCATCCATTCTTCCTTTGTGCTTGGCTTTATGCTATCTCAAGGTTTATACCCGCCCTGCCTCCCAGCCCTCATCTGAATACCTCTTCTGGTCTATAGAGGCACGGAGTGGCACAGGGCTTCGGTTACATCCCACAGCCTGAGAGCAAGGAAAGATGGAAATGGGCTGAGTGGAGTCTGTAATGAACCCTGTGCAGGTCTGGGTTCTCTGTTTGACCTTTGTTCTTAGGTTGCGAAGGTCACTGGTGTGCAATTGGCCACTCCACCCTCAGCTTCTGCTGAGGAATGGCCTGGAGAAAGAGCCGGGTGAGTTCATCCTTGTCTGTGTCCCCAGCATCCACACCGAGGCTAGTCGTGATCACACTGGGCAGCTCCCTCATGACGGATCCTGGGAGAAAGTCAGCTAGACGAGGCTTGACTTATTTTTTCATTAAAAAAGTTTTACTTTGAAACGGTTATAGATTCATAACAAAAAAAATTATTTAGAAGAAATGTAAACCTTATGTACTGCAAACATGTGCAAAAAAGGAAGGAGACCAAGGAATGGGTGGAAGGGTGGGAGGGGAGAGAAAGGGATGAAGAAAGGAAATAAGGTGTGTTACATACATGTTACCAACTTCCCACAAGGAATGCAAACACCACGTACTACCCACGTGTGCTAATAGATCATATTTAAAAACTGAAAAAAAGAAACACATTATTTAGAGGCCCTGTGTATACTTCACCCAGTTTCTCCCATATGGTTCCACATTGCTTAACTGCAGTAATTGTACTGCATAATCGAAAGCAGGAAATTGACATTGCTATCAAGTGTGTGTACATTTCTGTGCCACTTAATCATGGCATAGACTTATTTATACCACTCCACCACCTGAAGATACAGAAGCGCTCACCCCTGCCAAGATTTCCCCCGTGCTCACTGGATCTATACTACCATCCCTATCCTCTGGAAACCACTGGTTCCATCTCTGTCATTTTGTCACTTCAACAATATGCAGTATGGGAT